GACTGAAGAGTCTCTTTCCGTCCAAAAAATGTTACATAATAAAATTGAGCCATTTTCGCAAATAGTGCAAATCCACTACCGTGAGTTTTCCAGTTGAGAGCATAAATCGTAAAGCGGAGTGAAATTTATCAGTGGAGGCTACGAGAACTCTGGGATTCTGTCATGCATTTCATGCTCTTCTTGCTCCTTTTTGCTCTTTTTTGAGCTGGTGTGGGTAGGCACGTGCTCTATCTGGACCCCCCGACGCAACGCCACTGGTTGAGATCGTACGGGTGCAGAAGCACTACCATGACGCTTTCTCAGATCGAGCAGACGACAGCAAAACGGCGCATGCTCCGACGCGGCCCCTAACTTCACCGGCAGAGGCAGTTACATCGCGTTGAAGAAGCAGCCGACCTCTAGGGCGGCCTGAAGAAGCTTGCAATACTCGCACAGTTCTGCTGCCGAAGAAGTTTCTTTATAAGAGATTGCAGGACCCTCTTTAACGGGAGAAAATATTTCAAGACTTGGAAGCTTATTTCTTCGACATGAGAACCATTTCGCAGTTGAGTATACAGAGGCAATAATGCGACATCCTCACTCTAAAGGGGGCCAAATACTATTGCGGCCCAATCCATCATGGCACGATCCCATCAGCTTGCTTGCCTCCTCCGAAAATACCCGAGAATCAGCGTCCGGCCGAGTCCACCGAGACTTCCACTATCGACCTCTGCGCTAAATAATGCAAATATGTTCTACAATAGCAGCACACGGCCGGGTCAGGCTATTCTCCCGATCGCTCGTTTTCTTCCAGAGCCGCACGGGACGGATAGAGGAACCAGCAGCGAGAAAATAAAAAAAAAGGAGAAACGACGGACGCGAAGAAAGGGGAAATGGGGGATATTATTGACGAGGATGGATGAATGGACGGGCGAAGGAGGAGATGGTGCAGAGGGTGGTCATCTTCGTTCCTTGACCCTTTGCCAGATGAACACTTGCCATAATAATCAATCAGGTTAAACGCTTCCTCTCCCCTGCTTCCCTAACTTCCTATGACCCCGTATCACATCCTCCATCCCGTCTCTACGATGCAGGCATTTGCTGCAAGTCATTACTGAAATCTTATTTGTTGTATCGTCGACCGTACGACGAAGCTCAGGTGAGCTTAAAATTGATTTATTCCGGGTCATTGTTCCAGTCATTATTGATCATTACTGAGTGTGATCAATCTCCTCTATAACTCAGTAAGCGATAAAGTCGTAACGAAAAACCGAAGCCCACCAGAGAAATTTAAATCAGAAAATAAGGGAAATAACAATATGAAATGAAAATGGATGAAAATGCATGTCAAGAGGAGCTTAGGCCCAACACCAAGAATTCCAAGACCTCCTTAATGCAGTGAAAGTAAATCGGCTTTCCTTGAGCAGGTTTCGGGTGCCTTTTTACACGGGCAGCTGAAGGAAGCCGCTGAAATGGCTTCTACTCCGACCTACAAGGGCTAGAAGCATCCACATGTCCTCGTGTCTCCCGATCGAGAGAATATGACAAATTTGATGGGATCAGGTGCATCCGTCTCTCATTATTCTGTTTCTCAGTGTTGTCGCATCGGTATTGGGGAAGTCTAAATAAAGGCTTCTTTCGATTACCTCCTAGATGGAGTGGAACTCTCAGCCAAGGAGATGCGAATCAAGTTCCTGCCATTTTCCGACCGGTTGCACGACCGTCGAGTCGATGCGAAGGCATCCATCTTCCGACTGCAAACGGGACGATCTGTCGTTGTAGTATGGATGCACTTCAGCACGATTACTTACTTGTTCTGCTTAAGCTGGATGGCTCAGCTCATGTAGGAAAGGAAGTGGATCAGCTTAAGCCTGATACCGATCCGGATCAAGTCCTATGCATCGCGGAACAGGCTCAGCTTAAATAAAGCCGATTAACTTAGCCGATGTAAATGCTGCCCTGCCTATCTGGATGTCTGGCTCTGCGCTCAACCAGACAGACTGGGCAGCGAAACGATAAAAACCCTGATCGAGAAATGAATAATGGTGTAAAATAAAGTCGACTACTAGACTGTTCCTGTTTCATTTCTGACATCTTGCCTGACATTGCAATGAGCCTGTGTTTTATCAGATGCCATTTCAGTCCCAACCATATAAATTGCAACGAAAGCACTCACAAAGCAATTCACTCAGATCTGTGCCGACGGAAAATCACCATTTGCTGGAGGAAATCTAAGACCGCTTCTGAATTGGACAAGGTCAATGGGCACGCTCTGGAAGAATAAAGGGGGAGGGACTGGGTTGGTGTAATAGAAGGGAAGATGGCAGAAGGGAATGCGTTATGGCATGGTGCATATCAGGGGAGAAATGGAGCTCATTTTCGCGCCCAACGCGGTCGATTATCCCATTTCGGAGTGCCATTCTGGACTGGCGTTATAAAGGGAGTTGTCTATTACAAGTCAGGGCTTGTGCAGGGATATAAGGATAAGGATGAGGAACCGGACATTGCATGTGATCTCGCCTCGGTTGCCATGGGGACGTGCTCTCCATAAATAAGACCCTTCCCTTGCGTGCAGCTATTGTTCCTCCTTTTCATATATATGGGAGGCTTTTCCTCCTTTTCCGTGAGCATCACTGGATCCTCACCAGAAGGAATTTTCCGATCGATACCGTGTCACCGGTACTCCATGGAATTTTTTTTTGGTGAAATATGAGCATTATAATTCTTCGATCGGGGAAGGATTATATTGTATTTCGCGCTCGGAGGTAAGAGACTGACGATGTTATTGTCTGGGTTAACCCCTTTCCCTTCTCAAAAAAGAAAATTAAACATGAGACATATCCCAGGAGCCATGCTGGTGACAGGTCCCGAGATGAGCCGCGATGCAGAAATGAATTCACAAGAGATCATCTCTCATAGAAGGTCTCCAGAGGAGAAGAAGAAAGGAACACATGCCTCAAGGGAGGGAGACAAGCTGGGATATGGAGAAAAATTCCTTCATCCTATCCCTCCCCTTCCCGTCAGAGTTTTCCTGTCTCATTTTCCCCGGGAAAATCGATCTTTGTGCAGATGTAGCTGCCTAGAGAGAAGGAAACGATGGAGCAAGTCGTATGCACCTCTTGGATGTAACATAAATGGGGGTTGAGTCGATGAACTGGTAGCCCTGGGCATCGAGAGTGCACCAAATAAGCGGGATTTCCTGATAAAAACGTGGCGAGCACACGTGTCATATCACCCTGGTAACGAGACACCCGATCGATAACTCACACCATGAAGATTACAGGGGGCATCGAGAACGTCTATCGGGAAACACGTACATTAGTATACTTGGTATCGATACAAGAGGGACAGTTGTGGACAATTCTTAGGGTGGTATTACCATGTGCACGATTGAATAAATATCAATGACGTCGAGAAGCAAGCTGCTAGACATGCTGCTAACAGCGTAGAGGTTGGTAAGAATCCCCGGTTTGGCCGATCGGCGACAGCTGTGATGGACGCCAACAACGTCCTTCCGAAAATTTCGAGTACCGCCAAAAACATAGCTTTCCCGTGTCACAGCTCCGTAGGCCTGCTTTATAGGCAATGGTGTAGCCAGGGTTTCGCCAAGGGTGGAGGCTAAGAGGAACAGAGGGGGGGCTAGTAACTTCTCCTTAGGCGGATGGGGAGGGGGGGTGGCGGATTCATTTAGACCCGAGTTGGGGGGCTAGAAACAAACTTGGGGGGGGGCTTCAGCCCTCCCCCCAGCTTCCCCCTCCTCGCCTGCCACTGTTTATTGGTCTGAAAGCGTCTGTGGGTGTCCTGTTTTGTCGTACACGAAATCAACTGTCGCTGCTTCATAATCACCCACACACCTCTCGTTCGCGGTGGCAACACGGTTGCTGTTAAATGATTAATGAAAAACACGGTGATAACGCAACGTGCTGCCCTCGCTTGACTGCTACTACAGAGTTTTTCATGTGAGGCAATTATTCACTCGACTCGGATACCTCGTGCGCGAGCCCCCAAGTCAAGTGAAAAATATTACGACTCAGTGAAAAACGCTGTAGCAGCAAACTACCTAACTTTACTATTTTTCAAATCGCACATACAGCAGCACCGCCCTGCGGCTAGCCGCGAACTTTGCAAGAAAAAAAGAAATGCCATATACAGGGTGTCCACATGAAAGCTCACCTATTTGTGTGGAGCATTACAAGGAAAGTAAACGAGACAGGATGAAGAGAGTGACCCCAATAGAAAGAGCAACTCAAAGAATTTAAGATTTCAATTTCGCGCCAGCGTCAGTATCCCGGCGGTGGCGCTGCGGAACGCGGAAGTAAAAATGGCGTCCGACCAGCAGAAAGCGCAAGTTGTGGTGTGGTTCGCTAAGCATGAATCGGTCATTACGGTGCAGCGTCTGTTCCGACGGACGTATGGAACCAATCCCCCTGACAAGAACACTATCAAGGACTGGTATGACAAATTTCTTGAGACAGGCAGTGTGCAGAGATGGAAAGGCAGTGGGAAGGATGCTTTGGCGGCGGACAAAGTTGAGGCCATCAGGGACGCTTTTCAGAGAAGCCCACGCAAGTTTACAGCACGAAAGTTCCAGACCTGCAAACGCTGTGCACACATATCACAAGTGCAATTGAAGCGGTCACAAGGGACATGCTGGAGAGGACGTGGGCGGAAATTGACTATCGGCTTGACATTCTCCGTGCAACGAAACGTAGAGGTGTACTGATTTTTTGCAATAAATTCTTTGAGTTGCTCTTTCTATTGGTGTCACTCTCTTCATCCTATCTCATGTGGACACCCTGTATTTATGGGCTTAATGCATAAAATAAAATAAAGTTCAACTGCTTCAATAATTGGATGCTTTGATGATAAGATGAAGTCAGTCTAGTTAAAAAGATCTGCAAAAGCTCCGAATTGTGAGTTAACCTTTACACACTGAGCATTTCCAAATTCAAACAGAACACGTCAGCAGAAAATTTTGAATTTTGCCGTATTCCAAGAGCATGGAATCTTCTTTTGCACTCCTATAAAAGGAAGATTCCATGCTCTTTGAATATAGAAAAATTAGAATTTTCCCTCATAAGTGCTGTTTTCAAATATGGCAAAAGTGCACTTCTCCACTTTCATGCTCTGTTCAAATTTGGAGACATTCAGCATGTAAAGGTTAAACTATGATTAAGAATCTGATGCAAACCATTTCAAGAGAAGATATTCAACCATTTTCCTCCATTTTACAATACTTCCAATGCTTTTTTTGAACTGAGGTTATTTCATTATGGACTATTGCTAATAAATTCCAGCCCAAATACATATCATATTCAGGAAGTTGCCCTATTTACTCATTCTTATTTCATTTTGCCCTGGTTTCATAGCACTCTAAAACTATGACATCAGACCATTCTTCTCTTTTGTTTAAAAAAAAAAATATATATATATATATTTAATTAGATGTCTTGCTGTAAAATCACCCTTCACATAAATATAACATCCGCAAAATTCTAAGAAAAAACTAGCCATTACAAATTTACAAAATGGATGTGAAAATTACATCATCAGCAACAGCTGGGCAACAAAGTGGTCCATTGGAGTAGATAGCACTTGATCTGTTCCTTACAAAGGCTAAGTGTACAGGAAGAGGTGGACAAATTTTGGCATCATACTATGCCTTACCATGTCACACACCTGGGAGATAACATGTCTCACACATTTTGCCTTCTTCTAAGAATAGGGATTATTATTAGGCCTTTGCACTTACCTGGAGTTCTTGTGAAAATATTGGGCATGGAAGAAGCATCATGGTTTGTGACAATCAGGCAAGGGCTATGGAGTCGCTTTGCTTGACTAACAAGCATGTAGCATCGCTTGTTGTCAGTGTCATTAGCTATGACAACACCATCTAGTACAAAAAGAACATTCCTTAAAAGTAAAAAAAAATTTACATTTTTACGCAGAAGTCAAGCAAGAGAGGCATGTATTGTTATAATGTCATTTGCCCTGACATGAAGGATAAGACTACAGTAAAACCTGCTATAAAAGAAACACACCAGACCATGGAAATATTCCAATTTAGATGCAGTTTCTTGCTACTGTGATTCTTTCTCTATACAATTTGGTTCTGAGATATACTTGTGTGGATTGTAGGCATTTTGATGTTTCTTTTAGTACCATTTTTTACTGTCAGCTGTGCTCTTATTGCTTTGCATTTATTTATTTGTATTATTAAAATGTATGTTATGTGTAGGGTGCTGGCCCTCAATGTGTTAAAATTTTAAAGTACATTACTCAAGATGATGTCATCCAACATACCAGGCATCACTTGCCCATCTGCATGTAGCATTTCAATCAGCTGAGCTGTCTTTGAACCAGGAGCAGCACACATATCAAGGACCTGAATGGGGATCAAGGTAAATGTAAGATTCAAAATGAGGTGGAGAAAATACAGGGTGCTCATATTTAAATGCAACATAGGGAATATTTTGCCACCTCTAAGTGGAGAGCAGCGAACGCTATAAGGCCCACCGGGTTGCATATCTGCAAGGAAACACACCAGTAATAACATTCATCCTTCCAGATATGCAACCTGGTGAGCTGTAAGGCATGCGCTGAACTCCACCAACAGTGGGCAAACCTTTCCCTATGTTGCATGAAACATGAACACCCTGTATATATGAACATTGGGGGTGAGTAGAAAGTCACCACCTCACCCAATGATACAATGTTACACTGTGAGCAAGGGTCACTGTCCCAGGTGGGCAGTGACTTTCTATGCACCCATACATAGATTGGGGGTACTACAGCAGGACAATGGCAACTGCAATCTAATACTATTAGAGATGGTAGCCCATACCTACTACATTTGGATTGCTTGAACACCAAAGAGTAGTTCTCAATCATTATTTAAATATTATTTTTTTTAATTTAACAATGGCATGAAAAATGTCATTTAAAAAAGCAATTCCAGCAAATCCAAATGGACTCTTTAAAAAAATCCTATCCTCATATAAGCAGAAAAAAAATTATCAAAAATTAAAGAAATAAACTTAAGTGTCTGAATACTAGGGTAGGCCCAGTCATAAGTGAATCATGACAACAAAATTCAGTAATTGAGGAGTGCAATCCCCAGTGGTCCCAGGCCTGTGATACCAAAATCCTATGTACTTGTGGTAGCAGCCTCATCCGAGATATCACAAATACCAGTCTATTGGTACATTGGTCTATGTCCTAGCAACAAAGAGAATGAAGCAAGCAACAGGAGCATGGATATTAGAAACACTCTTCTGTGAGGATTTAAAAATTTGTTTCAAAAGTGATGTTCACATCTTCATACACTGGAGGGACTTCATGGAAAACCATCATATTCAAACAGTCTCTGGATAGGGGCACTTCTTTTTAAACTTTACAACTTTAATTTTTTCTGTGTTCACTTTCTCTTCATCATGCAGCACCATGGGTGAAGAAACATGGGAGCAGTTGTGACAAAAACATTGGTGTATGTGATCAAACCCATAGCATATTGAAGGTTTTCTTTTCAAATCCCAGAGTTTAGCTTCATTCTTGCAAATGAATAAAAAAGATGATGTACATAGGTTCAATTTTTTGCACTTGGGTATTCCTTGTCTTTGTAATGAAGACTAAGTTTTGCTACAAAATGGAGTGAATTAACTTCAAAAGGCAGCCCAGTCAGTCAAACTATTGCTACCATTGCTCTATAGAAAATGAATGAACTTGTCAAAAATCTAAAAAGATCACGTGCATTTTCCCATGAAGCTTCCTGGCCTCAGCACTAACATCTTCACTAAGATAAGAAAAGGGCAGAAAAGGGTCTACTTCTAAATATAAAGTTCACATAAATTTCTGACCTTGTGGTGAGGTTGCACGTCCAAAACAATAGGAGGAATCATACTAACAGCCTCTTGGCGACTTATGCTTCCACATTGAGTCTCAGAAACCAAGAAGAAGTGTAGTCTTGCTAATGCAGGTGATCGGCGAATCATGTGCCGAGGGAGATTGATCTGCCAAGCCATATTGTCTGGATACCTGAAAGTCATCATTTTTACATACATAGTCTTGAGCATGACATCATTTCAATTGACTCCAACACCCATGCATGAAGCACTTCCTATGCATGGGTGTCAGAGTGAAGTGAAAAAATTGTCTTACCAGAGTGGAAAATACAGTACAAACAGGAAATATATGAAGGTTCCTTATTATAAGAATAAGACCAGGCAGACAAATATGAATACATAAAGGGTTGTAAACAAGTTTAAAACTATATAGCCTCCAGCCAGGTTATTTGGGTTTGCCCTCAATGATAACAAAAAACCTGCTGCAAGACCTTAGAAAGGTGATCATTAACTGCACTGTAAGTGGCTTCATTTTCTCCATTGATCAACCCTGTGACAGCTATAGATGCACATACCACCAGAGCAGCATTTATCAAAAGTGAAAGTATTGGCACAACATGATGGGGCTAGTAACTCTTATACCTTGTCAGTCTAGGTATCATCATCATGAGAAAAAAATAAAAGAGCATGCAAAAGCAGCTTCTTACAAAATTTACACAACAGTGGTACTGCTACTGGTTGCTTACTTTACATATTAATTAATAAAAAGAAAAGATATGACAATAAATATGAAGACAATGCCTGTTGGAATAACTTGGGAATTAGGAATCAGCCCTCACCACTGAAGGGGCTTAGGCTGGACAGCTGCCATCTCTGAACCTTCCGAATCCTTGAGAAGATCTCGGAAATATTCACCCTGGATCTTCTGTAGCAACACCTTGGCTTCTGACTTGGATCCAGTAATTCGAAAAGCTGCTGGCAAAGGTTGCCGTAGAGCATCCATGAAACTGTCCCATTCATCTTCTGGAACAATGCCCTGTGCCTGAAAACAATAAATGGAAACAGATAGTGAAATCTCAAATCTTTAGAGTCACGTTTTTAAATGATAAAATGTAAAGTTGCACTTTTCTCAAACCCCTGAATTTGATTTCCAAAAATTCTGGGAATAACTCAAAAACTCAACATTTAGGCTTCCACAGTCTATGACAAGGTCAATACAGCCCAAAAATATTTTTCCCTTCTAAGGATATCAATTGATCAGGATTCCACATTTCCCTCACAAGTAATAGACTACATATTTTCATTTTTCTAAATACTACTTGGAGAAAAGAGGGAGTCATACATACCATCATGTATGTTCAAGAGCCCCTATTTCCTCTATTAGAAATTCACTATAAAAACCTACAGCTTTTAAGGGCTATAGACTGTTACTTGGAATGAGTACAGCCATGTACTTTAAATGGATTAAATGATTGAACCTTTCACCCTGAGTCATCCAGGGACAAAATAATTTCTTTAATTGCATTCTTATGTAGTAATACTTCTTTTTCTTTTCTCAGAAGTCATAAACATAAGGAGTCCTACATGTACAGAGGGGATGAATACACCATGTAAGAAAAGCACAGAATTCCTGTTAGATTTTGAGAAAATATACAGACATCATGAACCATTTCCCTTTCCTTTCCTTCAGAATGAATAACACCAAATGTGAAAAACAGAAAATGACAATCAGGGAAGAAAAAACTAATCATTCTTGAAAAGAATGCATGCTAATTTCATGACTGACAGCAATTATTTACAACTTCTTGACAACTAGAGGAAACAAGTAGACTTGGCCCCAATGCAAAATGTGTGACTCCACTCAGCAGCAGAATTGAGCCCCTAAGCCTATATTGCCAAAGATCTGACAAATTGGATTGGATAGTGGATCATTCCTGACCTTTCTTTCACTGCTGAATATTATATATTTCTAAATCTTGTCACCAGAAGTTTACATAGTTTTTTCTTGCCATTCAGAGTTTCAGGTGATGAAAGAAAGGTCAGGGTCTCTGAGTGAGGTTAAGCAATGAATATAAATGACACTGTGTATTTGTACAGCCAACATGAGGGGAAAGGGTCTCAAGGATACTCTTTAATAAATTAGTCATTCCCCATTGCTCCAGTTTTTCTCTTTTTTTGTCTGGAGTAGTGGTATACCACCCACTGGGGCTCCTATGGTAAGATAATACAAATCTAGAGTGATGAGACTAGCCACTAGCCAATTATGAAGCCACAGAGCAGATCACACCTTTCACTAATGAGTAATTCAAGATGACACTTGATGAGCTCATAAAGTAAAGGAAGAGTGGGTACTGGAAATACTCAAGTGGAGAACCACTTTACATATGAAGTAAGACCAAACTGCTACCAAATGCCATTTTCCTATCTGTGACCAATGGTCTTAGAACATTTCTCAAGAGTTCTCATAATGTTTCTTGCAAGAATCTTCAAGACAGGAGAGCCATCTGAATGTTCATCCAGAGGAAATATGTTTTCTGCAAGGACAGATGACCAAACCAAACCAGGTACTGAGTATGGGGCAAAAGACAGGTCAATATACTAAGGATTCCTCCACAGAGTATATTCTCTAGCTATATAATGGTGGCATTTCTGAATGCTTGTTTAACATAGAAAATGCAGAACCTCTTATTTCCTGATGGTATCTTTAATCCAACTTGGATCTCATTTCCAGGTTCATAGACTTTCATGAAGAAGTCCTGCAAGGCTGCAGGGTAACAAATGGACAAATACAGCACTGAATTTGATCAATTGGAACCTTGTATCAAGAAGTATTGCTGTTATGTCTCCACATCAGACAGTAAAATGATGGGGCTATGATTATGAAACATTATTCAATCAATATTGAAGGGAAGAAAATCTATGGAGGCCAGGTGAAACTCAGCACTGATAAAAATTTCTAAGCTAACCAAATGGTGGGGCTCATTGCACAGTGTTTATGCTAGTTATGGATCCTAGTTACCTGCTTACAGGAACTAAGTAAAGTTTCACAGAAGGAAAACTTTTATTTTCCATGAAAGACATGAGGAATTACTACAACCTTTTAGCATGAGTCTGTTTGCAAATACATAAATTTTAGTTAGCCAAAACATAAACTTCAAAATATATGTATATATAAGATGTGCATGCATGCATGACTCAGGGAATACACATGATGCAATCAGGGGGTAAGGAGCATAGGAATCAATCAAAGCTAGCTCAAAGATACACAGATATAGTACCTTGTAATATTGTTCAAAGGCTGGGCTCTCCTTCACAAGATCATCATATCCTGCAGGGCCTCCCCGTGGTGCTTCATGATGATTCTAAGGGAGAAAAATCATTTGGCTGATTGTAAAAGCAGACAGACAAATAAGAACTTCAAAGGAAAGAAAAAGGGAAGGGATAAGGACCTCCTCAGTTCTAACCCAATATGCCTTGCATATTATATATGTAGGACAGTGTGCACAGATGTGCACAAAAAATTTTCCAAAGGTTCACACGTCGGTTATGTTACTCAGAATTATCTGGCCAGATATTAAATGCCTGGCAAGAACATATTAATGTCATGCCAGAAAATTCTGAGTAACATAACTGACATGTGAACCTTTGGAGAATTTTCATATGCATCAATGCACACTGTCCTAAATATAGAACTCCAGGCATATCTGGGTTAAGTCCACAGAGATTGCTTAAAAATAAACCAAGCTCCAGTCAAAGCTACAGAATGAATTCAAAAGAGGTCAATGGAGCACCAGATACAATATAGCATAAATGATGGGGAAGCAGACGTAAATGACAATACAATGCTTTTAGAGTGATTCATGACAAATCAACCAATGGGTAACACCTTACCAGCTCCAACTTTTAAGGTCCTTCTGAAGGTCCAGTTTCTTATACATATGCTACAAAGAAGGGAACAGATTTATAAACCTTATATATCATTATAAAGCTAGACAACTTTGAAAACATTTGCAGGCTTATGAGGAAAGCAGATTAACCATCCTCTGATTTCCAAGCATCTCCCCTTAACTATTTTTTCATCCATGACATTTGGGCTCTCACAATTTGAAGTTACACATTGCAGTCTGGAGGCTTTATGCTCATGTGATTTAGCAAAGTTACCCAAATTACCTCACTGTGGACTTTAGGTCATGCATAAAATCCTGATTACATTTTTTTTAGGGCTGCATCAATGTATCAGCAAACCTCTGGAGTCAGCCAGCAATATGGCATCATCTTCACCATTGGCCATTTGCTGTTGGCAGGATTTCAAATTGTCAATGCTGATGGCAAATCCCCACCCTATCTAAAGATATAAAAAAGATTTAAAAAGAAGTCACCAGCTTTGGCAAAACTTAACTTTTAATCAACCATCCTGAACATGTAGCTTACTTTAATCTTGATGATAAAGTGTTATGTCTATGTTCAAATGCACCTTCAAATTCTTCATTAAGTTTGCTTTAGACCTACTTTATAATGTCATTACTTTCACCTGTTGTTTGGCTCGTCCTCTCTTCTTTCTCCTGGGCTGAAACTTGGCTTGATTCATAGGCAATGAATTCAGGAACCTCTGTGTAACCAAAAAAGGCTAATATAAGCCAAATGGTATATACTGGTCTGTGTCAATGCTCAGCCAATGTGACAAGCTCACAGCTGCAATAGCACACTAAATCTAGAAATCTACAATTATTTTCTTTAGCCAAAAAGAAGGGAACACTTCCTTTGTGGACAACCAACAGAATGACACAATATACATGTATATGCTAATTGAAAATCCTTGATGAATAATTTGTATTAGTGAAGAATTCAGGTGAGAAATTTATGAAGCAAATGGAGGAAAATAAGTAAACTCTTTAATGGAATAAAAATTTGCTCCCAATAAAAATATAATTATACAAGTAGGAGGAATGCAGACATAATGGCATTTTAAACATAAGTCAATTATACTTAAAGTTAGACTTGAGATTTAGAACAAAGAGAATCATTGTCCACACAGAAACCATACCCACAAATAAGATACAGAGTGCCAAGAAACAGGTGCACATTTTTGGCCTAGGCCTAGATCTAATAACAGGCATATAGGGCTAGCCCCCTACCTGTCCACACAAACCGGCAGAATGAAAAAATGATAATTAAGGCTTGACAATTTGGAATATCATATAAACTTCAGCAGTTACGATGTGTGCGGACTCCCTCAGCAACCGCATGTCATATGTATACATTTCTGTTCTCCGTCACGCCGATCCTAATTAGCCGGTACCGTAACCCCAGTCCTACACGTGATCACTGCAGCGGCCATGATCATTGATGACTGTCAAGAGTTGCCACGCTGCTTTCTTCTTTCTTCTGCTCTATTCAACTACGACTTCAACTATATTCTGACAGGGACAGTCAGGGCTAAGTGGAGCGGCGTAGAAACAACGATATTAATTTGTATGACCTAACTCGAGAGAGTAGACGAATGGCATCGGCTATCACTGAATGTAGGAGCTTTACCAAGGGAGTGATGAGACATACCCCCCTACTAAAAGTGATTTTTCTTTTACTTGGCATCCCCCTCACCCTCCGACTACGCCATTGGTTGCCAGGTTGCGTCCTTATTGCCTTCAATAATCCGGCCTCCTACACTATATCCTGGTTGCGCTCCCAGCTGGACTCGTTCACTGATACGAAGAGCCACTAACTTCTTTCTCCTCGCCGTATCGAAGGTGGCCGTTGCTCTCACTTCCTCTTCCTGTGGAAATCATTGTTTCGTTGAATGTTGTTTTCATAGCCTGACATGAGAGTCGGACCAACTTCTATGGTAAAGCCCGCTGCCTCGGCCTAAGTTCAACGTCGCTTAGGTTCTGTGGGGTCCGAGCAATGGCGTATGGGGGATACCGGTTATACGGTGTACACCGTAATGAGAATTTTGAAAGTGGCTTATACCTGTATCTGCTGACAAGAAGGGAATGGACAGGATCGGCCTCAGACATGTGCCCCCGCACAGGGCGCAAATTCACCAGGGGCGCCAAAAAACCTGAGTGAATGATTGAAGCAATAATATTAATAGATGCCACCCACAATTATTTTATCTCTGGAAGTGGAAGTGAGAGCAACGGCCACCTTCGATACGGCGAGGAGAAAGAAGTTAGTGGCTCTTCGTATCAGTGAACGAGTCCAGCTGGGAGCGCAACCAGGATATAGTGTANCCATTTGGCTTATATTAGCCTTTTTTGGTTACACAGAGGTTCCTGAATTCATTGCCTATGAATCAAGCCAAGTTTCAGCCCAGGGGAAAGGAAAAGGGGCTCTGGGAGTCCCATCGGAGTCGAGTCGGAGTCAAAGAAGGTGTCAGCCGATTCCCACTACCCCCGCAGACAAACCTCGCTATTGCTTTTTCCATACCAAAACAGAGCTTATTTCAATTCAGTTTTTCTCACTTTTTCAGGTAAAATGTCCAATATGATTAGAGACAGCGAGGCACTAAAACAGGACTTCCTAACCATGGGGGCCGCGAACCCCATTTGGGGTCGCCAAGATCATGTTTTGGGTCGCGAACCGGCAACCAAATGTGTTGTGTTTTTTCTTTGCAATTTGAGCGCATAGGTGGGGGAGCCCGTCGAACTTCGGCCAGTGGGGTCCCGAATGGTATGATCCTGACTTTTGGCGTCGCGCGTGAAAAAGGTTAGGAAGCCCTGCACTAAAGTCTACTCAAGTCATCTTTAAGCTATTTATGAAGCAGCTTAGGCCCATGCATCTCATTTATTTAGAGAGACAAAAATTCTGTTTAGCTGAGGACTAATGAGGACACTTCCTTTCATTTTCCTTTCTTTGCCTGCCTCAATTTTCCCTTTAGGAAAGGGACATTGTTATTGTTCGACACCCTACCCCGTACACCGCCTGTTCCTCCAACATCCAATCCCCCATCCTCCCCCGCTTTTCGCCCGATTCCTGGCGGAGGCGGTAATGGGACGTAATCCCTGCTCGTGAGATGATGGATGATGCTTTCCATCATTATCTGAGGTTCCCATAGCGACCGATGGGGTATCGGTGGATGTTGAGTTAGGTTCGTCACTTTCTTTGTTTTTCTAATATTCCGTCAGTCCGTTGTGGCCATAGCTAACCTATTGTTGAATTTTAATTATTGGAATGACTAAAATTCAAATTCCATTCCTCTGGAATGGTAAGAGCTGGGGAGTGAAATTTGTTTTATTCATCTCCCGTTGCCATAGTTAATTGGTAAGAAATGGAAGAGGAAAAAAAAAACTCACTTTTACCTAATATCACCTTGACCCCGAATTATACAAATAATATGTCCAGACGAAGTTGCAATTTTCTCATCCACACTATGGCGCCATCCTTGAATGCCACTCAACTAAGACCTCTGGCATAGGCGGCGGGGAGGTGGGACACCCCGCACGGTGGACCCCATCAGCTCTCCTTCCCCCTCTGGTGGCCCACCGCTTTAGCCCTGCTGGGGATCCGTCTCATCGACCCTTGCCAGTGGCGTGCGGTGGTCTATGGCGCAGACCATGCAGATGTTTCTCAACGGTGTTAGAAAACAAAATTAAGATCCACTTATTTCATTTGTAGACAGAGTCCAGCTGACGTGATTTAAATGAAACGCTATGAATCGGATGAAAATGGAAGCAAAATCAAGTATCAAAATCAAGTAAATACAGAATGTGATGTACTCCTAGGATCATTAGTAAACCGTCGTGCAGTACATGACTTGCATGACTTAACCACACGCCACTGCCCCTTGCTCGTGCACGCAGCTGAGTGCCTCTGCTCGACTGCACTGAAGGGCCATGCGGGACGAACTATTACAGGAATGTTGCTTGCAAGAGAAAGTTAAGAACTTGCACTTTGTGCGTATAGATCGGCGAGGTTATACCCGTGACAAGAGATAAGTGTTTGACATATTTGAGGAATCCCCAGGGGCATACTGCAGAAAAATCCTTTGAACAAATATTTTTTTCCGTTTGTCCGCCTGTCCACATATCGACGCCAGTCCAGCAAGACGAGGTAATAGAGAAGGAACTCAGACACAGATGGTGTGAATGAAAGAAATCCCTGAAGCCAATTACAGTCGCGTTTCCCCCCTCCGATGCTGATCCCATCAAGAGAGAGCCCCGTCTCTTCGAGCTCATTCCAAGAAAACGCCCATCTTCTTAGTGGAAGATATACTTTATTTGATACCTCCTACATTCTCTCCCTTTCGGTAGGATGGAAAATCCAGCGAGGCTACTAGGTCAGTTGAGAATCGGTCCAAATGTATAAGATGATGATAGGGGAAATGGACAGCACAAATTATTTTTTTGTTCACAATAACAGCCATCACAATATTTCACCAACCTCATACATCGCCGCCAATATTTCTTTGGTGTAGCGCATTCGGAGAAACAACGGAGATCAACGCGACGATAAACATTCAGAGGTCTCCAACCATGCGTATAATATCTATTTATAAAAAAAGTATCCAATGTCGTCTGCGCCTTTCCGACATGATATATTCCCTTCTTTTCCTTTGATCGCTATATATTCCGTTCCGCCCTGATTCCAAGAGCATACCATTAGGAGGCTGTCTTCATATGAATTCCCCCGAGGTACACAAATTGCCTACATCGCAGAATGGGATGACGAACAATCGAAGGAAAATAATGGACTAATCAGTTCGAAAAGGTCAGAGAGCGCGGAGTTTTCTTCTCTCAAAGGTATAATATATAATGATAATTCCATCACAAGTTTCTGTCACAGCGGCCGTCTCAAAATAAAGCTCTGACATTCAGACAACAGTCTGGAACACGAAGACTTTCTCTCAGAGGGGGGAAATCAAGGGAACACAGAATTACGAGATGGATGTGTCGACCGTGGATGGCAAGTGTCATCTTCTTCGTTTCCTTTCCTCCTCCATGATGCATCCGGGCCCATTGGGATTTACTGGGTGTCGGGGCCTGGGGTCTCTTCCTGGAAGAGGGGATTCTTCACCTCCATCTCACCCGTCTGCGAGTTCATGGGAAGAGAATTGACGGGAATTCAATTAGAGAAGAAAGCATTTTACCGTCCGGGTCGCAAAATGCTTTGAGACAGCAGGGATCAAATACTGCCATTTCTCGCAGAAAAAGGCTAGAAATAAATTTTGAACACGTCGGTCAAAACGACTAAATTTTGCAAATGCAGAGTGCCAAAAAGGAAAGCCTCCAGGTTCTAGGCGTTGTATTATGGCGGTAGAAGAATAACAATGACTAAATATAAGAACGTTGAGAAGCATCACTTCGATTACATGAGCTGAAGAGGCATTGCAAATGATTTTATTCGCACACAAGTATTAAGGCGTCAGCGTTCCACTTGGGCACTGGCACCATTAAGAGGAAAAAAATTTTTCAAAGTTATTTTTGGAATATGGGTGAAAATTGCTTACGATCTGCAATTTTTGAAAGCAAGAAGGAGCAAGTTCCAAAGGCATTAAGAATTTTAAAACCCAAGATCAAATCAATAAGAAAAAGGCAGCTCGGAACGCAAAACTCAGACACGTTCTTATAGAATTAAGCAGATCTGATCAAGCATCATCTGATATGCACAATCACTCTGCGAATTCAAAGAGGACGTTCCTGTGATAATCAAATAACACATGGAAAGCAAGGCTTGCATATGGTGAAGGAACAACGTGTCCAAACGCTGCTTTGACCTATACTGCGTCGTACTGCTTCGTGGAGAAGGCTGCAGCGGTTCCAATCTCAGCGGGACATTCCCCAAGATCCGCCAAAAACACTTCGCTCTATGGATTCACATTACATGGCCTCATTTTTCCTCTCGATGACGTCAGATCTGGCGCAAGAGGGAGACTCCGATCCCGCTGGAGAGACCGTCATTCCCATACCGAAAGTCAGGGGTTAACTCCCAATAGCGTGAGATCTAGGGCAAACATACGAGACTTAAAAAAGGCATTACCCAAATGCCACGATAGCGGGTGCACTCAGTAGGGACCTGGGCCGTGCCACGAGTCGTCGCCAAGCCCATTGAATCCGCAAAGGAGCCAGTATTTTGTGTCTCGATCTGGGATGAGAATTATGGGTGCTCTGTACCTCTGCCTCTTTCTTCATTGTAACCAGAACGGTGGTTTTGTTGGTTTGAGAAGTGGTCGTGGGCGTTGGAAGCGTAAGGGAGTAAATATTGCCTGTCGAACAAGTTACTGTTCAGTTGTCTGTAGTTTTTTGACAAATCGAAGTCAGGGGGCGCAGGATTTCATTTTATTTATTTACCTTGAATTTATTTTTGCTTAGTCACTCTGCATGTTCGGTGTCTCAGTGGAATGTAACATTCAAGTATCGCTATTCCTTCTTCGCTACGGGCCCATGAAATCATGGGGCCCATCACTCGGTAGTTTCAAGTTTCAGCGACAACTACGTTCTTTCCTGCCGAACGCATGTGTTCCCTGCGCTAGTCGATATCAAAGGCTTCATTGTAATCAATAGGTCGTTGTCATTCTGGTCGGGAGTTAGCGTTCGATCCAATTTCTGCTTCAAAATCCTCAGCCCGGTGCAGTGCTCCATGAGGCAAGAAGCACGTGCTTTATCTAGCTCGTAAATTGGCCACTTTCGAAATTAGCTGGCTTCACACGCGAGTAAGGCGTTCGAGAAAGTAGGATGGCTCTCTACGGGACCAAACCATGCAAGTCCCTGAAGATACCGATGCTTGCTTTTGCTTTGGCCTTAATCTCTGATCCGCAGCTCTTTCCTCCCGCTCTGGTACATAACCCTGTAACTACCGTTCTGGGTCCAATAGACCCTGATACAATCATTTAACCATTTATATTGACTGCAGTCAGGGTTAATACCGTATTCTGTTTTCCGAAAGGAATGATGATCTGCATCTGAACTGCGCCCAAACGGTTTCGTGGAGTGTGTGGAGTGGAGTGCGCACAATCGTTATGGTTTCTTCGAACATCCCTCAAAGGAAACCATCACGAGCGGAAACAAGATCCCATGGAGCAAATACTCTGTCATTCTGCGATGCATTTGGCTGTAATGTATTCATTGACGCAATGTGGGTCGATTGTATGACGTATTTTCTGCTTCCGTGACTTACGAGGTAGAGAAGCCGAACCTCGGGTTGAATCATGGTCCAAACGAAACAAATACTGTACATCGGTACTCAAATAGCCTGCTTCGTTTTTCCTTTTTTCAATACATGAAAATGAGACCAACGAATGAATGGTTGCATCGAGGAAAGCGAAAGAGGAACTCACGGGAGCAAGCCCAGGGCATTCATAAACGGTGTAATCTCCGTTGTCCTCGTCGGAATCCTCCGCATCGGACGCCGAGGCGTGTCTCAGTCCACCGGTCCCGTGACTGAAAACACAACAGTCGTTAATGAGTCTGGCTCTCGAGGCTGCAACTGGGGGCACTTGCAATGGGAGGGTGACTGACTTCTTCATGGCGATCATCTGCTGCTTCTGGTGTTGGAAATGATACATCTGTGCCGACTGGGCGAGTCGCTTGTCCCCGCTGGAAGGCGAGATGTCTCGGCTGGGTCCGGTGACTCCGTACGCTGGATATTCCACCTCCGCCGCCGCCTTTACGTTCTTATGGTACCTACGTCGATCCCAAGCAACAAAAACGGAGGTCAGGACATGCCAGAAGCACTGGAAACTCTGCTAGTTGGAGCAGACATAGTGTTCAATTCCCCCCTTCACTTTCAATCCATCTGCTAAAAAAAAAAAATTCCAATGCTACCTCATGAGAAGGGGACCCAAGGTGATGCTTGGTGAAGGGAGGCTTTTTTATTATAAATAAACGCTATATCTGCATATCGATTGCGATGAGTGTGAAGGGACACTGACCTGAACCAACACATGCCAGCAGTCAAGATCCCAATGGCAGCTACCACACTGCAGCCAGCTACAGCAACTGTGTACACACGGTCCAGAGGGAAAGATACCAATCAGTTCTCTTGAGTTCAATGCTCTCTCATAGGTGTCGGAAAAAAGCAAGAACTTTTGGATACGACTCTTCCTAACGGCTGTCAAAACAACTATTGCACTATGAGTACTGTCGATACACATACCAACTGCGACCTACAAACCAGATTACTGTATTTTCTGAACGCTTTTCAACAGCTGCGAAGGTTACGCTACCATCGATCGAACCTACAGACGTCCAGTCGACACGATTTTAAGCCGGAGCACAGAGGCGTCCGTCAACGGGAGCGACGCACGCAAAGTCTTTAACCCTTTCCATGGTGGTGTCTCCATTTGGAGACGCCATTTCAAATTCATTCAAAGCTTGTAGCGGTATGTGCAGCTAAGATCTGAGGGAAAGAGAAGTCCGATTGAAAGTATGAACTGTCATCCAGTCTGGGATATCGCAAAGAGTCTCAATTACAAGCAAGTTTTGGCTTGAGATCAGTGCATCTCTGACCACTCCCATATTAATTAGCCATGGAAAGGGTTAAGTTCTACGGAGGGGAATCTTTGTTCCATCGTTTGTCGATGGGGCCATATATACCCGAGGGCTTGATGCTAAGGGAATGGAAAAACAGTCTGAAAATGCTGAACGATATAAATGAGTATGTGTCTCCAGGGAGCTGTCGAAAGGAGGGAAACAGAAGATAGAGGGCCACTTTGGAAATGAGCTTTTTATCTTTTTTTGCTTCTTCCAGCCTTCGAAGCGCAAAATCTGCTCCCACGTTATGGCGTCATCCGCCTAAGCCCTGCATTTATCGTATCGACACTTCGCACGCGCTTTCGGATTCTAAGCGGACTTTGGAGCCTTATCTTTCCTTCATAAACGTGTCTGGGGCATTGCTTACGTCATGTAAAATTCCTGTTCCGTCCTCTGGACACGATGAAAAGCATTTTTCAAATCATCCGAGTTTCTCTTTTTTTTTTCTGTCATCGCTTCTGCACAATCCAAAGTAAGCAGCATGCCAAAAGTTCAAAGTTGAAAGAGAAGGTCAGCGCTTTCAGCTTCCTCCGTCGCGATATCGCATGCACGGCAGATTGAAAAGTTTTCCCGTCCTTTCACGGCTTAGCACTTGGGATTAGCACACTTCTGCATCGGTTTACTCTTACGCAGGCGATGAAAGCCTAATTGATATTATTAAACAAACAGCTGTCACTGATATTGAATTTCGGGTAAATCGATGTAATTTGCATTCAAGTAAAATTCCGCTTTTAATCATTTGCGACCATTTCTACATTTACATGACATAATGTCGAATTTAGGACGTGACACGACTCTGCCTCGTTCCTCTCTGAAGGCCTCAGTGAAAAGCACCGTCCGATGCGAATTTGCCGGTGAAAACTACGGCTATGGCATAGCGGGAAAGAGTGCGTCGAAGGAAAATGTCTCGCGTGAGCTATACCGATGGTTCTGATCCACTTTGGCCCCCCCCCCACCCCCCCTCCTCCTGTGCAATAGTTCATCCGTGGCTTCGTCAGGAGGATTGGCGCAGGATCATCAATCATACCGGTCCCCAGAAGACAGTAAATGCTGGGCACGCCCCTCACGTTAACTCCATTTAACTAAAGGTAGCTCCATTCCATCACACGAACACATATTGTATTTTGTTCGTGTGATAGAACGCGAATAGCGAATAAAGATGGTAAATGTGAACAGAGAACCTGTCGATCCATGCTTCCTCCATCATCATGTTGAGGTAAAATAACTTTCCGAAGGTCTCCCGTACGGCGATATTCAGTAAATAAATAAATAAATAAGGGTATGAACGCAGGAAACCTAAAATCGAAACCCATCTCCTGCTAGAGAGAACAACTAACGACTGTTGCATGTCATGTATGCCTATAATCCATCTCAAGTCCAGAATACCTACGTGTCACTTCCAAAGTACAATCTGGAAGGATAAGGGGTGAGGGGGGAGGGTGAGGGGGAAGGGCTGCGTGTATAATCAATAGCCTTATTCCGTGGATACCGTGCAATTAATGCGAGAGCTATTTTCCTCCCTCATACGCCCAATAAAGGAGACGGGAAAAAGAGACTCGGAACTACCTCTCGCTTTCTTTCGACCTTGATCTTTCGATGTCCAGTTGATAAAGATGTCCCTTGTCAATACGATCGACCTAATCGCGAACGTCACAAAGCCGAGGAGCCAATGAAATCGCACCCCCAGCTAGGAGCCAATCGAGAGCGCTTCTGGGGTTCGGTACCCGAGCCCCCGTCCCCCTCCGGCTTCCCCGGTCTAGCTGAGGACTCACCGATGAAGTAGATGTCGCCCAGGGGGTCCTTGTCGGAGGTGTTGAACGACTGCTGCGAGGCGGAGTCTGAAAAGTCAAAAGGCAGTCATGAAGGTTAAAGAGAGAGAAAAAAAAAAGAGGGGTGGGGGAGAATTATAAGTAGTTTTCGAGCCGAAACAAGAGTTAACTGAATATTTCCAGGCAAGACATCATCAGGAAGAAAACGATTTTCGTTATCGATCTCGTGAGACGTCTGAATTCCGAGGTGCATCGAAGGCATTTCGAATGCTATTCACGTGGAATCGCTCTATAGACGGCATCGGACATCATCAGCGGCCATTCAGCGCTCCATGCAGATTCGGAGCATGACTATACACGACTTTCGGCTCGACATCATTCGTCCGACGAGGACAGCTGCTGATTCTCATCGATGTCGTGACGGCGTCTGTGGTCCAGATGCGTCATCATTTCATTACGCAGGCTCGGATTCGCCGCCGTGACGAACTAACATGAAGAAACCATTCAGGAACCTTAAAGGAACGTTTCGTCTCGGTTGCCATGGTTACCATCGCATGCTGGATCTGGATGCTTCGATGTGCACGAGTAGGTCATGAATGAATCCGCGGGGTCAATATTTGCTCGGTGATTGAAATCCGGTTTCTTTTGCGCGAGAATCGAGTGATCGTTCACTCGGTGCGACGACAAACTTTCCTTTTTCGTGTAGACTTTGGACACTCGACGGCTGGCGTCGGTTCTGTCACGGATTTCCTCGGTCTGTGCATTCTTAGATGCTCGTCGGTGAAGCTTGGTTAGGATTGGGATTCTGCGGGCTGGGATCGCCGATCTCGAGCATCTCAAAAAGGCGATGATGGAACATCGTGCAACACTTGAGCGCTCATGAATATTATTGGGAAATGATTCCGAGACACTATCGAATGCTTCAGATGTCTTTTATGCCCTTTCTTTCCCCACCAGCAGCACCAACAACCAGTTCTGACCAGCAGTTAGCTAGACGATCATCAGTCGAAGCAGCTGGAGCATATTGAGCTCGTTGGCTGCTATGAGGATCGTCGGTGATACTCGACAGCTGCACGACACCAGGTCATGAGGATCGCCGGAAATCCTCAGTCATGGTGCTCTTATATATGGCCAATATATCTCAGTGGCACGTCGTATATCATCGACAAATATCGATTATCATATGTGCTGTTACCTATAAAAACTATATTTCATCGTATCAATCCTTGTTTCCGACCGTGGCACAGAGGAGGTTTGCATTCTGATGCATGGCAGCCAATATAAGAATAAAAAATACTCAATTAGTTAAATAATGCATAGTTACAAATGAATGTGTTTTCTTAGAGTGAATGTTTTCTTTCCAATATATGAAGTACACAATACTGCAATTAAGCATTCCTCAGATAATTTTGCATGGGCTTGGTTTCCTCATCGAGAACAAGGAAAACTTGCCTTCAACGGGAGTCTTCTTGATAATGAGCCGATCCCTCTTGGGCTCGGGGCGAGGAACTACATCGAGGTCGGCGGACACTTTCCCGCTGTCGTCCGGGGGCGGAGTGTTTCCATGGTGACGCATCTCCTCCATCAACAGCAGCTTCGCGAGGCTGAACTCCCGCTGGCCCCACGGGCGCGGGCCGTAGTCCGTCGCCACGCTCCAGGCTCCACCTGGGTCGAGGGCAGGGATGCCAGATGAGCAGTGATGCTTCGGGTGTGGGGAGGTCTGATGGGCGGGGATGGGTGTGCGCTCGCGGATTTCCATGAGAGGGTTTCGTGCTTTTAATGTAGACACTAATCGAATTACCTATTCCGCAGATTTTCCTTCGTGATGAGTATCGTTCTCGTATCCTTTTCATTCTGAAATGCGCTTCATGTTGCTCCCGTAAGTACCTATTCTATCGGAGAGCAAAAATCGTTCTGCTACTGTCCCCATTGCTGAGAACTTTGAATGTTACCAATAAGTAACTCGTATATGGGGATCACGCGTGTGCATGACAGGAGGAGGGTTGCACGAGACCTGCTTTACAACTACGAAGTTCTCCCGGTAAAACTTTCCTGAATCGTTATTAATGCATGTTGTTTTAATAATTCCTTCTAGGAATTTCCTTGTGAATACGAAAATTGCATTACCTTTTCTGCGAAACCATTGTTTCTCAGTTATCTCTTGGAGCTGCTGCCAATTGCTGCCATCGGTGCAGTTAATATATTTTCAATTATAAGGCACCAAAACGTGTTTCATTTATTTATTTAAGCATTTTCGTATTACTTAGCGCAATAATAAAGCGCGAATTTCAACATTACTTTCGGCTTCGTTTTCAAATCAGGAAAAGAAAAGTAACCAAAACGGAAGAGAGAACGCTTTCCCGCAACACTGGTGAGCAACACGGACTCGACTTGGAGGCTGGTCAGTGCGATTCGAGCGTTCCAGCATGGGTGCGTCTCGAACTCTTCCGACAGTCGGGATCGCTGTAAGGCCTTCGCACAGGTACGACGAGTGACACGAGGGGAGTGAATCGCAGCGCACCAAATCTAGCCACTTAATCTGCATGTAATCCGGAAATGCGATTTCCCCCTAGGCCTAGGGGGAAATCGCGACCACGCTGATGCAGACCTGGACTCATCGTGAAGCCAACAGGAGCAGCGAGCGGGCAGACGACGAAGCCAGGCGACAGGAGAGAATGGACTCACTCCGGTGACGCCGACAGTCATCTCCCGCTGCATTGCACGACCATCGCATTCGCTCCAAGGCTTTCTGGTCGTGGCCCTATTCCCCGCTAAGGTGAGCAGCAGGCTCAATGCTGTCTCATTTTGCATTGCTTTCTGTATGGCCTCGATGAAAATTGTGCAACGGTGGCGCCTCGGTGGCAAGACTTCGTAAGAGCTGCTATTAATTTCCTAGCTTGATGCCATCATCTTACACTATTTTAGTTTAGGCGCAATGGTTCTCAGAAGCAAGATAATGACTTTATAATCATGTACTTGCAAAGTAGTTGAAGCTCCTATAACCTAATCCCCTTTGACGATAATTGAATCGCTCCTCGATTACTTGGGATCAGAAAGCACTCGACTTCCGTTTAATTACTCCTGCCTCTCCTCGATGGCAGACTCGACAATCCCGCCACTTTCCCAAGATTGTAGAGTGCGAAAGCCCAACTAAGAAATGAGAATCAGCTAAATTCTGCAGAACTTCATCGCTTTCCCGCTGACATAACCCCGCATGGAAGCCCACTGCGTTGAACCGCTTCGCAGACGATACAGACCGCTCCTGAAGCCACTTCACGGCGCTCCAGTACGAGAACCGAGTGCTGGAGTTCGGTGAAACTCGAAAACCCTCACGATATCAGGGAAAAACAGAGAGAAAGCCTCGCTTAACGCCGTCTCTGCGCATAACAGCTCGTCAGGTGGCCATGATGCAGACAGCTGAGCAAAGAACAGCTGTGACGCCCGTCGCGCCGCCTCTGCAGTCCATACATTCCGGTGATGACGTAGCACAAGTGCTATTTGCTGCCTACAAGTGACCATATTTACAGAATATTCGAGAACTGATTGCGGGCACCTTACGGCAACAATCCTCGTGCGGGATGTTTTTCCTTTAGTGTTGCGCACTCCCCCCGATCTCGTGACGTAATTCCCCAAGTTTCACCGAGCTGCAGTGGATACTTCTCACGTTGGAGTGCTGTACACCTACCAAACCACCTGAAACTCGGCCCGTACTTATGCTGTATTTGATGATGAAATGCGAGAATATATATTTCATTATAAATTCTGCTCGTGAAAACATGCAATACGGTCTGGCATCACGAAGGGGTTCTGGTTTTGGCTTATCAAGGTCAAACAGAATCTAGGCCTGGAATTTTTGACGCATGGCCCTCTGGGAATCCTTCGGGTCGATGCGGCTTCACCCCGTACAGCACCATATTGTTCCGAACCCCCCCCCCCTCCCCCTCCCCCCCTCATCATCCCCTCGTAAGGCACTTCCCCCCGCGTGATCCCACGTGCCCCCCCC